TACGAAATAAAACAAAGATTCATATGCAAAGTGCCAAATTTATAATCTTGAAAATTAATAATGAAAGTAATACAATATGGAGCCAAAATATCAAAATCTAAAATCATCAAATTTTTTACAGTGAGAAAAATCTAAACAGAGCAGAACAGTGGTGAAAGGACAAGTGGCGACTTCCGGAAGCATGTGTTGGCTGGACAATTGGCAGTTTGGCGGCAAAGACGTTTTTCCATGAGGAAAACATGGCGAATGCAAGTGATAGGAGAAATAAACAAACGAGAATTGATTTTTAAAGCACGGATGTTTAATGAGCAAGAGTCATTTTTCAATAGAATTGAGTGAAAATTTGGAGATAGGTTTTAAGTAAATTTGACACAAAGGGTGTATATATTTCATCAACGGATAGTGACAAAACTGAATTTTTTTTATGAAGAACATACATTAGATATTTGATTCAAAGTTGAAAGTGAAGGCACATTTAGTACGATTATAAAGCGTAACAAAGTTTGATCATGTTAGAATCAAGAAAAAGTTTACAACGTGGATTTTCGGCTAAAATCAAATGTTTAAAAGATGAAGACACATATGAGTAAGTTTTGGCTTCCAAAAATAGGGATCAAAATGTAAAATTATATGTAAATTTCAAGTTAAGGTATATATTATTTAAATTTAATGTAAAAAAAATATTACAGTTCCAATATCTTCTTGTTATCTTTTAGTTCATGCAGTGAGAGTATTGAGCCGTTACATGACAAAACTATTGGAAGGAGACGATCTGGCTGCTAAGATACTTGAAAAGCATTTTAAAAATGACATTGTATTTTGTGAAAAACAATGTGGAACTAGAAGGTTTCGTTGACGAGGACCTTGATGGTGAATTGGATAGTTGGAAGAGCACTTCCAATTATGTTTTGACATGGGGAGGTAATGCTGTAAGTTGAATGTCAAGATTGCAAAAATGTGTGCCGCTTTCCACAAAAAACGCGAAGTATGTTGCGATTTCGAAGGCCGGAAAGGAACTGGTATGGCTACTCAATTTTGTGAAGGAAATCGGAAAATATCAAGATTGCAAAGCATTTAACACCAATAGTCAAAGTGCTTTGTGAAGAACCCGGTGTTTCATTCGAGATCCAAGCGAATATAGTTGAAGTGCCATTATATACGGAAAGTGGTAGAGGATGATATTGATATTGATATATATATATATATTTATTTATTTATTTATTTATATTGTCGTTGAGAAATATCACAGGTGAGATAAATCCTGCAGACATGTACACAAAGGTTGTTATCACGGATAAATTGAGGCTATGCACAACCTTAGTTGGGCTCAAACTTTAGTCAAGTGAAAGCTGATGCTGGACTATTGAAGTTTGGTGTAGAGGAGATGAATATGTTACTTGTTTGTCTTTTAAGTGGGAGATTGTTTAGAGATTGTTTAGACAAACCGGTAACTTCAAAAATTTGGAGGTGCCATCTGCAGAGTTTTAGAGGTGCCACTTGTAGAATTATAGAATTGTCATTTGTAGAGTTAGAGCGGTCATGTCAAATGATCGAGATGCATGTCAAAACAGATTGAAACGCAATTTGTTCTACCACATCGATACATGTGCAATCGTGTCAAACGCATTTGTGCCATCAACAGAGGAGGTGCCATCCGTAGGGAAGAAACGGGAGAAGGCAACAAGCACCTCTGAAGAGTTTCAAGCACCTTCGAGGCTACTGTGATTTATTTTTTCCTATGTAAGAAGTCTCTACTCTTTTGTTTTTCATTCTTCAGTTCAGTTCAGTTCAGGTCGAACTGAACGTACTTCAGGTACTTTTATTTCTCCTCCATAATAGACCAACAGATTTGTGGCTATATACCATCCGTTTGATTTTTCAAAATTCTAAGATCTATTTGCTTGTTTCCAGTGCGGATTCCTCGACTTTACGGTTTGTGTTGTGTTTTTTGTGACGCTTTCGACAAATAGTTCACACCGCAGGAGTAGTTCATTCGCTCTGTGAGTATAACTAACAAACACATCGATTAGAGTTTAATTAGTTTAAACACACTACTCAAAACTGGAATGTTCGTTCGGGCATAGTTAGACAAATGTCATTATCTTGGATACATGTTACATTCGAGCATATATGTGCACAATTGAAATGAATGTGGCATATTGAGGAAGATATATAAACATAGATAAAATGTGTGGAGCAAAATGGAGGTGGATTTTAGCTGAAGAATTCTTAAGGATCAAAGAATCAAAGAATCCTTATGGAATAATGAGACTGGTATATCAGGGTGAGTCAGAGTGGGGCCGAGGAAAGACGGACGCGAATTCAACATCCTGTGCTTGTCATGGATGTTGACTTATTAAGGTGCTTACTTATTTGCTGCTAGCACTGCAGGCCACAACAACCCCGATCGATGCTGCAATGCAAAAGTTCACGAGTTGGCATTAAGCCTTAATGCCAAGTCGTGAGCTTTTGTATGCAGAAATCGGTTCACGCCTTAATGATTTAAGGCGTGACCTGCCTATAATGCTCGGAGTCGCTCTGCGGTGCCGAATGCGCTACCGAATCGAGCACAGACCAGCCAGCCTTTTCTTCGGCGGAAGGATTGTGTGGGTCCGGGCAAAGTCCTCTGTGCTTTTACGAGTGTCAGCTCTTGTGCGGATGTCGGAAATAGGAATTTTCGTTCGCGCATAGTATTGTAAGACATGTCATTACATTCGGTCAAATATGTGCACTTTCTGTACAGTAGACAGAAGGGTATGATGGAGGTCAGCCAGGATATGTCTGGTGGGGCAGCAGGTAATATCCCGGGCCCTTCCTGCCCCCGCCCCGCCCTGGCAGCGGGAGCAATAAGCGGTACATGTACCCCGTGTGCCCCGGGTGTGCGGGGCCCGCACACCCGGGGCACGCGCCATCCTCTGCGCCGGTTCTACGAGTCTGTCAGCTCTTCTGCGTATGTCCGGGCCTCTCTATATAAGGCGTATTCTGTATGTTACGTATCTCAACAAAATAAGTATATTTCTCAAAACAATATATGGAGCTTGTAAGAAATCTCTCATGTTTTAGGTAGAATTGTACGGCAATGTAATACAACTTCTCGAGAGAGACGGGTGATAGCATTGATCTATGAATATATTTTTCTCTGTTTAGCAATAAGAAATCACTTTCCACCTGTGTAGTGTTCGAGCATGGGAAGCTAATCCTCCGAAAAAATCTATTCTTAATACTTGGAATTACGCGGTTGAGTTAATAGATTTTTGTTAGCAGGAAATCTCGATTTCGTAATGTTCTTGATTCACAACAACCGTTTGTCTTTTTTAAGTATTTTATCTATCTCTTTTTTTCTGAAATTAATTTAAAACGATATTATTATTTTAGAACTAGCTGAACAATTTTTCGTATTTTCAAAACTATAAGTTACTGAGGTAACCAAGGAGTCAAATATTAAAAATTGTCACCTCAAAGTTTTAGTTGAATATTTCCGTTAGTTTCTCTAGTAAAACAAATGAGATCAATAAAAACATTATCTCAAATAGTCACCACAAAGTTTTAATTGAATATTTCTGTTAGTTTCTCTTATAAAGCCACCTAGATAACAAATACTCCTTTTTGTTGTAAATACGAAATTTTTTTAAAACAAAAAACGTCAAATACGAACTCCACTTGCCATTTTTAAAGAGGAGAGCGGCTAGTTAACCTTCACTTAGTGCTAATTAGCCATCATTCTATTCCTGGCTCTTCTCTAATCGTTAGATGCAGGGTTAGAGGTTATTCAGATGAGTAGCAATCACGGTTGAGTGTAGGGTATTCGACCAATCAGAGAATCTCATATACTAGATTGAGGGCTAATTAGCCCTAAATGAGTGATAACTAGCCCTCCCACTAAAGAGTCATTACAGGCTTTTCTATATAGGACGGATTCCATATGTTTCGTATCTCAGCAAAATATGAATAATTTTCAAATCAAAATATGGAATATATGGAACTTGACAAAAATCTCTCATGTTTCTGTCCTAATTTGACGGCAATGTAATACAACTTCGAGAGAGATCAGTGTTATTCTTGATATGTGAATATACTTTTCCCATTTCAGCACTAAAGAATTATTTTACTCATGTTGAAGTGTTCAAAAATGGTCAAATTAATACTTCAAAAAACTACATGAGTTGAAGAAATCTATTATTAATATCTGGAATCAGACTCTTCAATCATCTGATTGAAGAGTCTGAGAAGAGAACATTGACTTCTTGATGTTCTTGGCTAAAAAACAAAATTTGTTTATGTTCTTTCACTATTTTATCCATTTCCTTTTGTTACCAAAAAAATTTGAGAAGATCTTGATATTTTAGAACTAGTTGAAAATCTTCTTGTGTTTTCAAAGCTACAAGTTATTGAGGTAAGGAAGGAGAAAAAAATACTAGAACTTGACTCGTTGAATTTATCAGGTGTCACCACAAAGTTTTAGTTGAGTAACTCTTTTAATTTCTCTAGAAAAACCATAGATCAACTAAGAAATTGTCACAAACAACTGGCTGAGTTTTTTCTGTTAGTTTCTCTAGTAAAGTCACCTATATCAACAAAGATATTGTCACATACTTTATTTTAGTTAATGATTCCGTTAGTTTCTCTAGTACCACACTCCGAGATGAACTAAGATATCTTTGGAAATACAGAACTTTTTGAAAACGAAATACTCTACTTCTGTATTTGCGTTATTTAGAGAAGCATGTGCGTGACTCTTTTGTGGTGTGTATCCCGTATTTTTCCGTCCCGTGACCTTAGTTGTGAAGTTTGTGATGTGGGTCCCACACCACAAAGAAGAGCTTTGACTATCGGGTGAATTGAATCCGACATCCGCAGAAGAGCTAACGGAATGGAAGCCTGCAACTCAGCGCTTGCCAGAATCTCAGAATCTACAGAATCTTTATCTCTCTACTGCTGTGGCGCTTGTCACATTGTCACTCACATTGCCAAAGCGTTGGGCCGCGATAAACGCGGGTCAAATGCGCGACAAATGGGTAAACGCGGGCCGCAACGAGCGTGGCCGCAACGAGCGTTGCTGCTTGTTGCGGTTACACTCTGCTGCTGCTGCTGCAGCAGAACTGTTGTCAAACTATTAGATGCTCCTGATCAAAAAGTTGCAAAAAGTTGGCAAAAGGCCGCCTTGGGCAGCAAAGCCCAACGCTGCCCGCAAAGTGGGCAGAGAATCGGGTAACGGGATGCATCCCCTTTAACTTCCTGTTCGAGTTCTATCCTCTATATAACCTCCACTCCTTAAATTTGTAATCGTACTTGTTTTTCACTCGATTTCTAACTGGTTGGCTACAATAAGCTCCATCTTCATTTTGTTGTTCAGAAGTTACAGTACCTGATGTTCAATCGCCCCAATATGTCAAGACGAGATAATCCGCACAACTGGAAGGCATGTTTCGTCATTTTCGGTAAGATGCTGTTGTGCATGTTCTTCGTATCAGCCAGTCCATGCATGCACATCTAGCTAATTTGGTCAGCTCTCTCGTGGTACCCGATTGATTTTCAACATTTTTCCTTCATTTGTCAAATGGGATAGAGAGGCAAGTTACAGTATTCTGGTGTCAGGTCATGCCTATGAATTGTTCTTGTCCATGTGTGAACATTCAGGTTCCAAGTAAAGCTCTGCTGGAGAGTGTATCTTGAAGAACTTGCTGTTCTGTGCATGTTGAGGGACCATGTTGAGAAAATTCGTTCGGGTTCGCATGCAAGACGTTGAACTGCTTTCTCAATCTGTCGTTTGCCTCGCCCACAGAAGTTACCGTGCTAAACATTGTCATCGAGATCGATATTGATCATGATTTTACACCCGTTACATTTTATCAACAATCTTGTCGATGCGTTCAGCCTTCCTTTTCTCAGTCCGACTAATCCTTGACGATATGACTGTTGCTTCAGCATGCGAGGTGGCAGAGACAGTAGCGTACTACGCCATATCTTCCACTCTCAAAGTCTACCTTACGACGGTCCAGCACGAGACCGTGGCCGAGGCAGCCAGAAACTACAACAACTGGGCAGGAACGACGATTATTACTCCCGTTGTTGGAGCATTTATTGCGGATGCATTCTTGGGTCGTTATTGGACCATCCTCTGGTCCATGGTAATATATTTCCTGGTATATATCTCTACTTAACGACAATTTTTTTATGTTAAAGCTCGGTGCCTAATATTCTGGAGTTGCTTCATGCCAACCAAATACAACCTCTCGAATTCTCCGTATGTCTTGAAATCTAGGATTTAAGTTGCTTATGCTTATATTCAAAGCTTGTGCAAATATTCTGCAAATTGTGGACTGAAAGACGGATGCTCCATGGCTCAGCTGACGAGATTCGGAATTCGAAACTTTCAGGCATTGGTTTGTGTCACGGTCTCCTTGTCCTTCGAGCCATTCAAACCTCCGACGTGTGATCATCATCTCCTCACCACCATGTGCGACAAGCCTAGTGTGCCCCAAAGAGTCTTCTTCTATGGTTCATTGTACTTGATGGCCTTAGGAGCGGGAGGAATCAAGGCATGTGTGACGGAATTCTCTGCAGACCAATTCGACGGCACTGATCCTGGGCAGAAGCATGAGAGGGTGTCTTTCATGATCTGGTCTTGGTTCAGTCTGAGCGTCGAGCGTATCATGGTCTCGGTGGCCTTCTTCCCTTGGGTGCAGGAACAGTATGGGTGGGTATGGGTCGGAGCAATTCCAGCCGGAATCGTTGGATTTGTAACTCTGAGTTTCCTTCTCGCTCATCCTCTGTACTACCATCAAACCCCCTCTGGAAGTGCTTTCACAAGAGTTCTCCAGGTTCTCGTGGCTGCTTTCAGGAGGAGATTCTTGGAACTGCAACCTGATCTTCACGAGCTCTTTGACCTGAGCCCGTATCATTCAGAAATTTCCATATGTGGTGTTGCTTGACAGAGGTTGTTATTCAAAGTTCGGAAAGATGGATACGTGGCTGAAGACTGATGAAAAATTTCTCATCCAATCTAACAATTTTGAGACATCTAGGCTCGAAGGGACACATCAGCTACGAATTCAATATGAAGAGCTTTGCGTTTGTAATACAGCTTTGGATCATGTCAGTGTACACTATTAGTCTGGAGCAAATCTTACGAGTCCCAGACTCATCCAGAAATGTTCGTTTCGTACCTTTTCGGTGACGAAATCATGATGAATTTCATTTTTCTTCGAGAAAAAATCTGAAAATCAGTTGGTATGGCCTTCATGAATTGGTTCGCTCCTTTGATGGTTCTGGGAACAACAGTACTAATGCTTGTGGTACACTGGAAGGGCGTTTACTCTTATACAAAACGTAGGTCTACTCATGTTGCATTACACACGATCGTCTTGAGCATTGAAGGTGTTCTCTTAACACCTCTGTTCAGCAAAGCAAGTTTTAGAGGAGACCAATACTCCGGCGAAAGGCCAACTACAAGATTTAACCGGAACCCCGTACTCTTTCGTACCTAATAGTCAAACATGTACAGGGGATTGTGAGTCCTCAGGTAAATGAGACATAGGAGGGACACATGTCTGAATTCTTATGAATTGTCAGAGAATGTAGCAATTGTTGTGCAGGCAATGAAGTGATATCTAAGCACATATTTCAACTCACCCATATTTTGCGGTCCATTCCCGGATGAGACGTTTATAGGTTGAGTAAATAGGTGATTGGTGGGGTTTTAATTAATTCCTGACGGGAATTGCACGTCTCAACTTATGCCCTGAGGATGAGGTGGAGATACTGTATATCCAGTAGTCACTCCATTTCCGGCAGTGTTCAATTAAGGCATTGTCAGGAGAGAACGAGAAAGTTGCGTCTCTTACCGCAGTTATTGATCCCTCCGTGCTCTCGTTGATAAAGTTCCTGGTTCATCGATACACCTCGTCCTATTTTATCTTCAAATGTAGATTTGCCCGTGCAGTCTTCTGGTAAGCCTTTCAATGTCATCCTGAATACTTGCAGATCGGCGATCCAGTCTTGTTCCAAATCTCACATCTTCTTGTCGATCGTTACTCTTGCAGCAGAGATTCGCCGCTTCTCTTTTAACACCCGTCGTTGAATGACGATCGGTGCGTACAGCGGCCATCCTCTCCCGAGATGGGACAAGCGCTTTGCGTCGGCTGGGCGAGGAATAAAATTTTTCTCTGAGCTATGTTTCTGATCCTCAAATCAACTGATTCGGCAACACTGGAAATGAATGTGCCCATGTCTGTTCAACTCTCAAGATCAGAAATTTCAGAACTCGCATTAGGGCTCCGATCGGGTTCGGGTAGAGGGCTGTACCCGACCCGAAAATCAATAAAGCAACGACCGATAAGAGCTCACCTGCAAGGCCAGCCGGTCCGTTGTCGTCGTCTGCATCTGCTTCCGCTCCGTCTCGCGAAACTCTGTTCCTCCTCTCGCGTCTAGCATTACTCCTCGTCCCGCCTGCTACGTACCTCGCTCGATGCGATGCAGGCACCCGCTCCCTTGCTTGTTTATCGTCTAGCTGGGACGCGCTGCGCTACCTCTGCTGCTCGTCCTGCCTCCTCGAATTGCAACTCCAATTTCCCGATTCTCCCTCGCCGTCCCCTCACGATCATGGATCCGCCGAGCGATTCGGGTTCTACCCGAATCCGACCCGATCGGAGCCCTAACTCGCATCTGCGTCAGCATCCGCATCGTCTGACCTTTCAGTACGTCTTCCGTGAAGTTCTTCACGAGGAGTCTTAGCCGTCTCTTCGTACGTCTTGGCAACCGATATGGCAGCTTCCAGGGTGGAGCAATACTTGCGAATGGATGTCGGCAGTCCCTTCAAGTACCACCGAACCTTCAATCTTTCAGGATAGGGTTCATGGACACTCTGCAATTAATGGATCAACCTTGTCAGTTTGATCGAGTATTTTCTAATGGATTCATCAGGCTTCTTCTTTATCCTGCTGAGTTTGTTCAGCCATCTGTGAGCATTTCGACGAAATTTCTTCACAAGCGCAGCGCGGAGGCTTTCCCAATCTCCTCGTTCGTCTGCATTCAAAGACGTGTACCAACTGAGAGCTCGTTCCTTGAGCAAATTGGGAAGAGTTCGCAGTTTGTCTTCATCCGAGACCTGTTCATTGTACTGCACGATGCCTTCGAAATCTCGGACGAAGTACTCGACATCTTCAGATGGACTTCCATTGAAATCTGCGAAAGAATTACACTCAATGGTGTAATTCTTTTCGCAGTAGGAGTCATCCATTCTCAGCCTAACCGGAAACGTTGGTCGTGTGAGACCCCAGAGTATTTCGTCCCCCTCATGACAGATTCTGCGTCCAGCTCTAGGCGCTTTCCCACCTGCATCGAGGCTCGTCCTTGTCCTTTTCCTCTGCTTTCGCACAGGTTCTCACTCCGACAAGTTAGAGATGGCCGACCACGTCGGTTTAGAACAGCGCTTCCATGCCCACCCCTGCTTCGAGATAAAGTTTTCAGAAATCGAGGATGAATTGTTCATTTGCCCGTGCACTGAGTTATGTACAAACCAGAGTTCAGCCGCAGTGATTTCAAAAGTGCCATGTGGAGCAATTAGCTCTCTTTCAGAAAAGCCCAAATTCTGTCGAAATGTCTAAATTGAACCTGTCGGTGATCTTCTACGAAACGAGACAGTGCCTCTGATATCTAAGCATTCACGTCTATAATTCACAATCATCGGTGTTTCTCTGCAGAATTCTTTTACCTCTTTCTCTCGATTCAACAGGCACACGAGCCCTCTTCGGCAGTCAGATTGAAGAGCATCATCGAACAGCATTGCGAAGATTCCATAACAACAAGCTCAGGGCTTCTACTGAATTCGAGTGTTGAGAGAGATGGTCAGGATCTCATCGTCCATCCACAGTGCGTACCTCACCTTAAGTTAAGACCATGGGTCAGACTGCAGCGATAGTGTCTTTGACTGTTGTATTTCTAGTTACCTTCAGAGCAGCAATCGCAGAAGAATGCATTGTTGGAGATGAAAGTCGTTGGGTACTTGCAAATCGAGCCAATGCCATTGGCAACAATTATACGGATGGGGCCGACAGTGTCATCTTCAAGGTCGGAGACTACGTGGGTAAGTCTTTGGGATCCAACTTTTCAATCTGCTTCTGAATAGATAAACTTACACACTCTAACATTTACGAATCTATTTCCATTCTACTGATCACGACCATTTACATGAATCAAATCTCGGGCCACACTAGGAAGTACGATCAGAATCGACTGTAAATCTATTTCTGTGACAGTTGCAAAATTCGAGTACAAGAAAGAAAATCACAGTATGCTTGAGATGAATGGACCTGCATTTCCGGATTGCATCACATTTGACCATCCAGGTTCATGGAGAGACGCCAGTACTTCCATTGAGTTGAAGACGATGTGATTCATCTGAGACACAGTACGGTGTGGATCATCTGCCGAGCTCCTGGTCACTGCGAACACGGACAGAAGTTCAGAGTAACTGTCCTCGCTAGCTCTCTTCCTGTCTCTGACGGACAAACGCAAATTCCTCGCGCATCTGGTCCTCAACCTGGAGCTGGGAAGGGCAATATCGAGGTACTCAAACTCTGCTGCCATCATCGGGAGTATCATTGCACGAGCATTCTACCTCCTGTAAGTTCGGATCGAATCATAGTTCGTATAGGAATCAATCTCGTTTGTATATGTATGACCTTTGCAAAAAGAAATGGGAACATTTGGAGTACCGTAAGGCTTAAGTATCTGATAGTAAGATTCTTCACACATAATTTTAAGAGATAACATTTTACAACCTGTATAAAAAGAAAACTCGCAGTTGCAGTACTTGGTAATATCCATATCTAGAAAGTTAAGAGTGTTGTTTTCACTATGATCAGAATAATGTTAAGGATTAAGGGGGACTTGTCCTCCCACAGTGCTGATTTGATTTTCCCACATTTTTATGATATCACATAATGGGTTCACAGAATCCAAGTCCTATTTTTTTGGTCAGATCTAACATTATCACTTGTCTCCTACTCGTAATTTGAATCTGTGCGGATTTTCCATATGAAGCTCAATAACAGTGTTATCAATCGTAATGTATTAAAGCTGAACCTTTTGGACGTAATTTTTTTTTAATGTGAGTATAATATGAAATCAACCTCAGAAATATCAGAACGCTCTTATATAATGAATTAGAATTATGTCATAAAAACAGATATGGAAACGTCAAAAAAGGAGGTGTAGGTGGCAAGCACCGAATTTATTTTGCATACAGCCCAGTAAAGATCTAAGAAACAAATAACCCTGAATTAAGCTTTATTTTCCTTTGTATCAACAAAATTCAAATCAATATTTTTCTCCTAAATTCAGGATCTTCTTCTACTGCATAAATCAGTAGGCGATTTTCATATATTATTCTCAACCATAATGTGAATATTACGTAAACTTTTGTTTATAGGCTGACAGATTCCATGGGAACGAAACCTCGGATGTGTAAGGATTTTTAAGTTAGAGACGTAGTGCAAAAGTACAATGATAATCTATAACAAATCAAATACAATCCTAAATATGTAGAACTACAAGAATTCGAAATGTTTCTTTGAAGTTAAAAATCATCCTGAATGCAGCGATATCAACAATTATCCAGGGGATTGAAATAACACGCTTCAAATTTGAGGCGATGAAGAGTGTGTAACATCCTGTCCTCCGTTTGCAAACCCAACTTAAAGGTTATGCTAAAGCGAGAAGAATTTCACTTCAGGAGCAAATTCCGAATTAGAAAGATGGAGTAACATGTTTTATATTCTCATGTAAGAATCTCAACGGAAACTTTGGACATGGGCTTTGTGAATCATTATCCGATGATGTCGTTAAATGCTATCAGAGTAAAGATGCCGAGCTGATGTCCTGTATTTGGAAATAGAAGGGCACATCCAGAACCTCAATTTGTTTCTGAATTCTCTCTTCTTCACTTGCTCTGATGCTATCATTTATTTCAGACAGAGAAGATGAGCTGGGAACCTTGAGCTGTGATCTGGTGGAACACATCAAAGGCAAGCGTGAATTTGTAACGACCCCAATGAAGGAGTGGACTGAAGCT